CAGCCGCGACACTTCTGCATGACATACAACTGTACACCTTACGGCCAGAATACATAGCGTCTTAAATAATACGGCCACGATTAAACTCCAAATTCCTTTCAATTTTGATGCACATCAGCACTTACGAAGCGAAGTATTTGATTTCGTATCAATATTTGGCCGTTAGTCCTATCCTAATCGCAGCGAATAATACGATATTCCGAGCAATAAAGTTTGAAATTTATTAATATAAAAAGTGTCAAAATATATCACACTTCGAAAATAATAATTTACCTATAGTTGTCTCGCTCGCACACAACACGGTGCATGCCACTTTAGCGTTTTTTAATTGTAATCGAATATTCTCACTCTTCATACATAACAAGCACAGCAGTGTTAGATTTTTTATCCAAATAATCTGACTTACATACAACGTTTTCGTCCAAACTGTCACCTAAAATAAAAAAACAAATCTTATCAAATATTAATTTAAAAGTAACGTATACGATGGGTACTATATTGATGGGGATAACGCCTCCTACAAAATCGAGAATATATTTGTCAATGTCATCAAAAAAAAAATGTATAACTTACAAAAATAGCGGCTTGGACATTAACAAAAACTTGAAAAAACGACGTTAACACTGCAAAGAAAATCTGAAAACAGAAAAAAATATGAAATTTACAGTTAACAATAATTATTAATGCGGCCAACTGAATTCGCTGAAATAGTAAAACGACCGGTACCCATAGGCATCCTTAAAAGATAGAGTTCCTACCCTATCCGTCTCTACCTCTATCAAACCATCTCTTACTTCTCCTTACCATCTTTTCCTTACGAGAATAGGGTAGAGAGGACAAATTGGTATGGCTCACACTCATAGGACATAACGTGAAATTGCTTCCACTTCACGCCTTTTGTCTGGTTAGTCGTGGTATTGAACCGGAGTAGCCGACCTGTTCGTGCAACAGATGACCTTGGACACAAGATATCTAAAAAGAACTATACACTCATAAATAGATAATTACCGGAGCTCTGAAAAGTTTATTACAGACTTCGAGCGCTTCAATCAGTTCATCGTAGGCTATAATTTGTTTGTTTAAATGTTCTTTTCTTTCAATGTCACAGATATTAGCAGAACAAAAACACCTTAATTCAGAGATCCAAGTCTCTATAAGTTTTCCCAATAAATGTATTGTACAAATTATGATAATGCTGTTACTATCGATGGACAAGTAAATTAGATGCGTGAGAAATTTTGAAACAAATGACGCATTTGATTCTATTATTCTACCCGTAAAATGTGCAATGTTGTAAGCAGTTCCTATTATCAAAAATAACCAATTCACTATAGCAATGGTTTTATTGTCTAATTTAACAAACTTGAACCGTTTATTTATTCTTTGTGTCAATATAATGAAGTATGCGTTCAAATTACTTTGTGCTGTTGTAATAAAGGAATTGTTAATTATGGTTGTGACTAAAGAAAAACCGTATAAAACAATAGATAAGGCGTAAATTCCCACAGCTTCGGACAAATAGTTTAGAACACTGGGTAACCAAGCGCTAGCAATACCAACAGCAACCAAACAGACAAATATATTAAACTTGTGACTGTTGGATGTAATAATACCATAACGTATAGAGTATTTAGGAGCCAGAGACAAACATTGCATCACATAAAGTGGAAATAGAATTTTCTTCATTTCAACATCAACAAAATTGTCTAAAACGAAATCTGTATTGTGTTTAACTGGAACTCTTTTCGATTTCTCGATACAAAATTTATTTCTCAACATCTTCAAAACACAACTTTAGTATTTGAAACGTTAAGGCACAAGTATCATATTTTAATAAACACCAGTACTTTTAATAAAGCTACATTTGATTGCTTTTAATATAATGATGTTGAATGACGCAATGTTTTAATGGATTACTTAATAGAAAACCGATATTATATATTGTATTTCGAGTATCAATATAATGGTCGCCATAAATGCACACAGACCTTTTGTAGGGGAATATGCTTACATTAAAGTCCACTAGTAAATCTAAATTGTAGAGCGTTGTCTCTGTCGCACACAGGCACTGGACAATGAGATAATAGTGCAGACTGAATTGCATTTTGTAATGTGCTGTTAGTTTCAGAAATAAATCTAAATGTTAGATATCAAATAAAAATACTGTACATTTAATATTAATAGTAATGTAATGGATTAGTAAATTAGTAAAAAGAACGCTAACGGCAAGTTCTTGTTGCAATTTTATACCACACTCATACCTTATGGTAGGATGCGCGGCGGACAGGTGACGCGCGGCAAGTTTATTGGTTAGTCGCGGCCGCGGCATTCGGTTGCTAAATACCATCGCGCGCCAAAGAAATAAGAAATGGTCTTACATTGACAAGATAAAAAATTATTTAAGATGTATACTTACAATGCTTCATGAAGAGAGGCTTAATGAAGGGCGTTACAGAACTTTAATTTTTATTTACTGTGTTTGTAAGTTCGTACTTATTTCGCTTTAACTTTGTCGTTGTTATTTATATTTCATGATATTCTTTCTAATATTTATTTTAATAATAATGTATTAAGTAAAGTTTATAATAAATAAATAAAATAATACAAAAGCGAAACGCCTAGTGTTTTCTTGCGTGAGTGTATCGATGCGCAAACGCTTTCTTCCAGCGTTATTTTTACATGACGTGCCCGATATCATTTGTTTCCTACGTGTACAAAATCTTGTCATAGCGCCATCTATTAGGGTGGAACCAAAGCGACACCAACATCAATTAAAAAAGCGCCATCTATTAGGGCAGATCGAAAACGATGACAACATGAATTGAAACGATAAATCTGCCACAGTGCCATCTATTAGAGCAGAGCGACACCAACATCAATTAAAATGAAAACTCTGTAACAGCGCCATCTATTAGGACGGACGGAAAACGACGCAAACATCAATTAAAATTAAAAGTCGGTCACAGCGCCATCTATTAGGACAGACGGAAAACGACGCAAACATCAATTAAAATTAAAAGTCGGTCACAGCGCCATCTATTAGGACAAACGAAAACGACACAAACATCCATTAAAATTATAAGTCTGTCACAGCGTCATCTATTAGGGCAGAGCGAAAACGACGCCATCAATTAAAATGATAAATCTGTCACAGCGTCATCTATTGGAGCGGAGTAAAAACGACGCCACCATCAATAAAAAATACGTCCAAATAATTGTTTTGCTATAAAATATCTATGTACTACAATTTAAAAGTTTGATAAAATACTGTCGATTACAATATTAATTCTAGGAGGAGGCTTTCAATATTTACCTTCATATTGTTACATAAAGGTCGAGGGTGAGTTTTTATATATGTATATGTAAAAACATCTTAAAAACCTAAAATACTTGCAAGAAATAAAAGAACATAATATACTATTAACTTATTTATTCAATGTAACACTAAGGACAGTTTCTGAGACATGTTCCGTTTTGTGAGAAACAGCTATCGAAGTCTTCCGGGCGCTGCACCTGAACGAAATATTAAAATTTAATATATGTATAGAAATTAAGTACATAATATAAAAATTCTCCTCGCACCAAAGACTACAATTTTCTAAAATAAGTTTAAGTGATCTTAAGCAAAATGCTCTGCTACATTTTTTGCTAGATACGTCAGAAGATTCAATAGTATAATAATTCAAATGTTCATATATTTACTACTAGCTGTGGCTCGCGGCTTCGCCTGCGTGAATTTAAAAATATAGCCTGATCACGTATCTATTTAATCGTGCAAGATTTGAAATCGGCCCAGTAGTTTTTAGTTATTTCCTCGTTTTAATATTATTATAGATAGTTTTTTATGTTAAAATATAAACTTACTTCATATGTGATATGTTTATGTGTTTCACATCGCAGGACGATTTTATTTCCCAAAGCATTTTGAGCTTTTAATTTATCGCCAATCGAAGCCCAAATTGAACTTTTAGACCGAAGTACGTCCATGTTGCCGAAAATGTAAAAACCTGAAAAAGGCAATTTTAAATCTCTTGGATAAATTGGTATTTGTTAACAAAGTGGCAAACGTTATGGAGCTAAAAATAAGAATGTACATAATTTAGACTAGCTGTTGCTCGCGTTATCGTCCAAGAAAAACATAGCCTATATTACTTTCTAATAATGAAAGAATTTTTGAAATCTGCCCAGTAGTTTTGGAGTTATTTCAATATATACAGAAATACAAATCTTACCTCTTTATAAGAGTATAGATACATAGATGGATGTTTGTTTTAACAAACTCTGTAGCCTAAACTGTTAAAAGGATCTTGATAAAATTTGTCACAGACAGAGGACAGTATGGAACGAACCCATATTTATTTTATGCACAAAATTACAAAAAATATAATTGAAATGAGCAACAAGATTTATTTTACTTTTTTTTTAATTCCACGCGAACGAATTCTATGGAGAAAGCTTTTTATAATGAGCTGACCTTCTCTGGCTCTGGACATGGCGACGCAGAGGCGCGTGCGGTGCGCCAGGAAGCCGATGTCTGCTCGGCGG